GGGAAGAAAAACGCCGTTTTGCATACTTGGTTCGCCATTTTGAATCTAGCCTTACTTATGAGAAGGGCCTATGAAAAATGCACATGATATCTTCAAAAAATTGTATCTCGGAAACGGTTTGTCCGATTGGTTTGGTGTCTTGGGCGAAGTTTTAGACAATTGTTGGTGTTATATGGAGAAAATATGCACGGTAAAAAAAAGTTTGGTATTTGTGTTTTGAACTAAAATATAAATTTTCCCTTTAAAGTGACATGTCAATAATTTTTTTATTATCCTAATGTTATAGCTGACTAAAAATGCTATCTAGTACACAGTAGGTTGTTCTGGAGAAAAATAGGTTACAATGAAAAAAATTGTTTTTTTAAAAAAATACAATTTTCAAAAAAGCTATTAAGAAAAGTCAAAAAAGTTTGTCACTCTAATTTTATGAAAGTACATCAAATTTGCAAACAAAAAGTACTTCGGTAACATTTTTCTAAGATGCACCGTTTAGAAGATATTACTGATTTAATATTGTTTTTTTTTATAACTTAATAAGTTTTGGCCCTTTTCGGATGTACTACGTGTTTTTCCAGTTTCAAAAGTATTTTTTTCGGAAAGATTGGAAAATTTTGAGTTAAAATGACACTGACAGCTTAAAGATTCGAGTGAAATTCTCTGCCTTAATAGTATTTTGAAAAACAAGTTACAAAATCCCACTATCAGGAACAATGATTTCTTCAAATGATTTTTGGTGCGTTGTGCTGAAAACGTGCTAACAAGTATTAGATACAGGTAATCAGATACCAGTTAGCTGTACTACGTACAGTTGGTGATTGTAAACATGGTCTTTGTTGGAACTAGTCCACCATGGCCACGCTGGCCATAACGAGGCTAGCTCCGTCGTTGACCGTTCCTTAATAATAAATAAAAAGAACGCAGTAGTCACCTTCCATCAAACTAGAGGGATGCCGACTGATACCTCAATCAACAACCGCCGCACTCTTTATTCATTCCAGGTATATACAATTTACAATCTTCTTCAATAACAATATACCTACGCCAGCAAATCTACCTCGCTCCAACTCTCCAAACTCGTACCTGAAGGTTCGACGATACCTGAGCGTTCAACTCTACCTATCTTCCAACAGTCTTTACCCAGCATTCTATGATTTCTACCCGTGAGCTGTATAATAATGTCTGACTCGGAATTCATCCAGTATCTACTAGGGAAAACCAAACAGTAAATGCAGAAAGGTTGCTAGTAGCATAGTGATTATAGTAATTTCAGCTCATAATCCTGTGTTTTTGAACGAGATCCAGTGTTGTTTGATAACATAATAATTGTAAAGGAAAGTGTAACACGTTTTGGTGCAAAGGTAAGTTTTAAATACACATTTTAATTATATGTTTTGTGATATTTTCGTACAAAACTAACAATTGGAAAATATTTTCTGTTACAGATTACAAAATGAGTAAAATAAGATGTATTCGCCCATTCAAAGACATTCAGTGTTCGAAAGAGCTGCGATATCTCACGGATGGTATCATCCAAAAACTAAAATCAATTGGATTTTCCAAGGTATCCACACTGAACACCAAGGATTTTCGTGTTTGTTCGTCTTGCCGTCTACATATTGATTCAAGAGCTCACCTCACCCAAAACGAGGAACAAAGCGTAGCCGGCGGCTCAAGGATGCCAACTGTTCAGACCATACCTGATGTACTTGATTCGCAAAGCTATGAAAGTTTGGTCACAATACCATCAGAGTCAACGCTAAGCACAATTAAATCAAATGAAGACTTCACGATGCCTGTAGACGTCGAAATATTCAACCGAGGAATAGCAGCTATTCGTGTTTCGCCTATAGATTTAGGTAAGGTTAAAAATGTTCACTATCCTGAAAAAAAGTGCGCTGAAATCGTCGAAGGTGTACGAAGAAATCTTTTTAAATTAGACGCTAAAACAGAAAAAGCAAACGAGTTTGATGAAGTCATAGAAAATATGAAAATTAAATTTTTAAATTCAGCCACAAGGCAAGAAAAACTATCAATTTTATCATTGTTGCCAAAATCATGGTCAGTACAAAAATTGTAGACGAATTTAAAACCAGTAGAAATATGGCATCAGATGCAAGAAAGGAAAGAGATAATGTATTTGATTCATCTCAAGGTTCAAGCTCTGGAAAAGCTTTGAGTAATGAAACAAAAGAACTGGTTTTGAATTTTTTTGAGGACGATGATATAAGCCGTGCAATGCCAGGCCAAAGAGATTTTGTTAGCGTAAAGACAGGAAATAAGAGATTAGCTGTTCAGAAAAGATTGTTAATGATGACATTGAGAGAAGCTTTTAATCGCTTTAATGAAATGTACGTCAATGTAAAAATAGGGTTTTCATCATTTGCAAGCCTCCGGCCAAGGCAATGTAAACTATTGACTATCACACGAACACATAATGTTTGCGTTTGCACTACGCATGAAAATGTCAATTTAATTCTACATAGCTTAAACAAATACAATGTCTTGAATGATCTAAAAACATTAACGAATAGATTACTTTGCGAAAATAAGACAACTCATTGCCATCTACGAAGATGTAAAAACTGCCCAGATACCTCAGTTTTAGAAGACAGTTTATTGAAACAACTGGAAGAAAACTTTGTTGAAAAGCTTTCATTCGAACAATGGGTTACCACTGACAGATGTGATTTAGAAACTATTGTAAAGCAAACCGATGAGTTTGTTTCATTTTTCAGCTCAAAATTAGAAAGTTTGATTCTGCATGATTTTGTAAAAACCGAACAATCCAATTTTTTGAAAACTACACAACAAAACTTGCAAGATGGTGAATTTTTAGCTATTTGTGACTTTTCTGAAAATTACAGCTTCGTTTTGCAGGATGAAGTTCAATCACACCATTGGAACGTGCAACAGGCCACAATCCATCCTTTCGTAATATATTATACTGAAAATATGCAAATTAAACATTTTAGCTTCATTATAATTTCTGAAGAACTAAGACATGATTCAGTCGCTGTCAATTTGTTTATTGGTAAAATGATAAACTTTTTACAAATTGATCAAAATAAAAACATAAAAAAAATGATTTTATGTCAGATGGTGCTGCTTCACAGTATAAAAACCGAAAAAACTTTTCTAGCCTTTGTAAATTTAAGTCAAAGTATGGTATTGACGCTGAATGGCATTTCTTCGCAACATCGCACGGAAAAGGTCCATGCGATGCTATTGGAGGTACGATAAAACGCATGGCTACCAGAGCAAGTTTAGCCAAAGAACGCGAACACCCGATAAAGACTGCAAGAGAGTTGTTTAATTGGGCAAACAAACGAAAAGAAGAAGAACTTACAAAGTTGTCATTTTGTTATTCTACTACAGAAGAATACGAAAATATGTCTTTGCAGCTAAATAATCAATATAATAATGCAAAAACAATTCAAGGAACTCTAAAATTCCACTCATTTCTTCCTCTATCAGAAAATACAATAAAGGCAAAGCTTTATTCAAACTGTCCTGAGTCAGGACTCCTGACAATGATGCCAAAATATTCAATATTGTTAAGAAAGTTGTGTAAACAATAATTTTATAAAAATACAGGAATAAAAATAAACTGATGATATCCACCATATAATGTTATTTTTTATTGCGCACAATCACCATCCCTGAAAAATAAGCTTAATTCGCTCTTTTGAATCTTGCTAATTGAGGAGCTTACATTTGCAGTTCTCAAAAAGGTGTATCTCGAAATCGAGTTGTCTCATCGGTTTGATGTCTGTGGCGATGTTCGGCAATAGAGAGAAAATATGCACAGTATAAACACATCCAGTTTAAATGGATTAAACTGTTAGGCGATATGCAAGAGTTGAATGCACATTTTCAGCACAACGCACCAAAAATCACTTGAAGAAATCATTGTTCCTGATAGTGGGATTTTGTAACTTGTTTTTCAAAATACTTTTAAGGCAGAGAATTTCACTCGAATCTTTAAACTGTCAGTGTCATTTTAACTCAAAATTTTCCAATCTTTCCGAAAAAAATACTTTTGAAACTGGAAAAACACGGAGTACATCCGAAAAGGGCCAAAACTTATTAAGTTATCAAAAAAAAAACAATATTAAATCAGTAATATCTTCTAAACGGTGCATCTTAGAAAAATGTTATCGAAGTACTTTTTGTTTGCAAATTTGATGTACTTTCGTAAAATTAGGGTGACAAACTTTTTTGACTTTTCTTAATAGCTTTTTTGAAAATTGTATTTTTTTAAAAAACAATTTTTTTCATCGTAACCTATTTTTCTCCAAAACAACCTACTGTGTACTAGATAGCATTTTTAGTCAGCTATAACATAAGGATAATAAAAAAATTATTGACATGTCACTTTAAAGGGAAAATTTATATTTTAGTTCAAAACACAAATACCTAACTTTTTTTTTACCGTGCATATTTTTTCCATATAACACCAACAATTGTCTAAAACTTCGCCCAAGACACCAAACCAATCGGACAAACCGTTTCCGAGATACAATTTTTTGAAGATATCATGTGCATTTTTCATAGACCCTTCTCATAAGTAAGGCTAGATTCAAAATGGCGAACCAAGTATGCAAAACGGCGTTTTTCTTCCCCAAAAACTTGTATGCAAGGTTTCATGCAAATCAAAAAAGATGAAAATTACTCGTTGCTTTAATGATATGGAACCGCTCTTTATGGGGTGGCTTTCTCAGTCTTTTAGTAGAAACGATTATTTTTTACGTTCCCGAAGTTTCGACCGTTTGGTTGTGGTCTTTCTCAAGGGTTGTAATGTCTATCGTTTCCCGTTACAAACTTTTACGAATCGAGGACAGCGTAAAAGTTTGTAACGGGAAACGATAGACATTACAACCCTTGAGAAAGACCACAACCAAACGGTCGAAACGTCGGGAACGTAAAAAATAATCGTTTCTACTAAAAGACTGAGAAAGCCACCCCATAAAGTGATTCCAATCAACCAGTCGAAACCACCATTAGATCTTTGCTACTACAACGACGGGAGAGACTAAACCCAATGGATCAAATAGCCTCCCAATCTCCGAAAATACCTTTCGCTTGGCGTATGTTTCAGGCTCTTCGGCTGGAATCTTCGTTACGAACATGAATTCATCAGAATGTGGGTTCCAGGTTAGCCCCAAGGTCTTGATTACTTCGCTGGTGGTAGTATAATCCAAGCGCACTAACTTCTCTCGATTTTCCTCAGGGATTTGATTCAGTAATTCCGGACAGTTTGAGCTCCACTTGTGAATAGGAAACCCACCAAGTTGGAGTAATTCTTGCAGCTGGCGCTGTGCTTCTACAGCTTCTTCTACACTGTCAGCTCCAGAGAGGATGTCATCGACATAACAGTCTTCAATGAGAATCTTGGACGCAAGAGGAAATCGGTTACCTTCGTCGTTGCACAACTGAACCAGGCATCTGGTGGCAAGGAAAGGCGCTGAAACTGTTCCGTACGTTATGGTTAGCAGCTCCAGAACTCGTAGTCGTTGGTTGGGTTCCATCCGCCAAAAAATCCGTTGGAATTGAGTATGGCCCAAAGCAATCAATATCTGCCGATACATTTTTGCTATATCAGCGGTGAATACTACGACGGGTATGCGAAAACGAAGAAGAATGCTTAACAAATCACTCTAAACAACGCCTCCGACTTGAAGTACCTCGTTTAGAGACTTGTCTGACGGACTAGGCTTGGCCGAAGCGTCGAACACCACTCTTAGCTTCGTCGTCGAACTGGTTGGCCGTAACACTGCGTGGTGTGGTAAATAATAACGACCTTGAGAAGGAACATCGTTTGCTTCATCGACTTCATGGCAATGACCCAATGCTTCGTACTCAGCAATAAACTCAGAGTACAGTTTCTTCAGGGTGGGATCCTTTTGCACCGTCTCTCGAGCATTAGGAAACGACGAAGTGCAACGGATCGGTTGTCCTGAAGCAATTCAATATCTTCTCGGAAGGGGAGTGAAACCATGTAACGTCCAGTTGACGTCCGACGATGTGTTGAACGGAAAATCTCCTCGCACATATTTAACTCTGTTTCCTCCTTCACTGAATGTGAAATATCCTCAACTTCCCAGAACCGACTTATCGTCTCACTTAGGGAATCAAGCGAAACAGGGTGGGCCACTAAGGTAGCAGCAGCATCGTTGTTGATTTCTCCAGCGAAGACCCAACCGAGATGAGTTTCATGGAGCTCAGGAAGACCATCGGCTAGGTGAATCTGACCAGACTTCAGCAACGTGAAAAACCTTGAAGCGCCGATTAGCTCGCCGATTAGCATGTCGATTTTATCAGGCACGTGAAATGTAGGATCTGCCAATTGAACTCCGGCAGGAATTGGCCACGATGAAACATCTATTTTAGCGGAAGGGATGGTACCGGTTACCCTTGGTACCACAAGGCATTCCATATCAGTGGAGAAATTGGAACATCTGGACTGGATCGTCACTGTCAGTTTCTCTCTTGCGTAGATCTTTGCTCCGCCTATTCCGGTAACTTTCCGGTAAATCTTCAAACGGTTGGCGATCGCCTCGGACAAAAAACATACATGGGAGCCACTATCCATCATTTCCCGGCAAGGAACTAACTGACCATCAGCACTCTCAAGATTCACGATAGCAGTTAGCAGCATCACGGTCTTCGCGGTTTGAGAATGGTTGCAGGAACAGGATGTGTTGGCACTTGTTGACGGAACGATTTTGGGAACTGTGTTGACTTCAGCAGCGTCCTTGGAAGAGTCCTTCTCAGGGAGGGTTTCGGTCTCAAGGGTTTTCGTGAAGGATTCTTCGTGCAGCAGGGTGTGATGTCGCTTGTGACATTTCGAACAATTACGCTTGGAAGATCAATCCTTGGCACATAGGCCAAGTCCGAGGCAGTTGAAACAAATTCTCAATTGCTTCACCTTGTTTATGCGCTCTGCGATAGGCAATTTGGTAAAAATGGGACACTCAAAATGGCGGTGGTTTTCACCACAAAATTTACATTGACTCGAAGAATTAGAGGACGTGACAGTGTGTGCCTTCTGTTACACAGGTTTTGCATTGGAATGTTTGGACTGAGGCTCTTTCGCCACAACAGGATGACGAGAATGTTGGAAACGCTCAAGAATTTGGCACTCACCTTTTAAGAACACCAACGTATCCTTGTACTTGGGTAACTCACCATGTTTTGCTTACGTTCCCACAGCTGTAGGGTGTGATCGTCCAAACGGTAGGTTAATAGCTTCGTAATGATGACCCCGGATAGTTCGTCCACTGCCAGACCCTGGTACTCCAGTCCTGCGACGTGACGCTCACATGATTTCGTTAACTCCAGCAGATCTTTGAAGTTGCTCTTCATCATCGGTTGCAACTGGATCAATCCATCGACGTGGGTGTCCACTATGACACGCTTGTTTTCGAACTGTTCTCTCAACTGTCTCCATACTTGATGGAAATTGTTGTCTTGAATCATCTTGGCATTGATGAGACCAGCTGCGTCACCCACCAAAGATTTGTCAAGATAATGCAGCTTGACGGCATCGGAATCACCACTTTTCACGACCAAATCCTCAAACATGGCTTTGAATTTGGGCCAATTCTCCACACGACCATCGAAAGAAGGTATCGGTGCTTGGAGAGGATGATGCTGCACGACTACTTGGGCTGCTCCACTAGGAATAGCAACCACAGCAGCAGGCTTGGCAAAATACTCCATCAGACGCTCTAGGCGATCGAGCGCTTCCGTGTGCAGAACGTCGAATTCGTCTAGCTTGTCGTCTTGCTCTTCCATTTTTGCCGGTGGAGCTATGGCAATCACTTCACGGTGGGCCTCAGTGTACTCGGTGTAATGCATTTCTAACTTTTTGCCATACACTTTGAGTAACGATGGGTCATCTTCAGCCTTTTCAAGGTTGTTGGTTATTTTAGTCACTTTGCCTTTAATTTGACCACGTTGGTGGATAAACATCTGCAACTTCTCGGTGTCCGCAGTGGGCTTCTTAGGCGTGTGGTCGATAGGCATTATGACGTTTCACTTTTCACAACACACTTTCTTTCACTTTTTCACTTCAATGTATCTTTTTTATTTATTGTCCACTTTACTTGTCCAATTCTCACTATTCACTACTAGCTTTCTTCCAACATCCTCCAGAAACTCTGCTTCTCGTAGGTTTCTCCGCACAACGTTGCTCTTATCCGGCTTGAAGGACCAATGTCGGAGCCGTACCAGACTCCAATGAAGGAATGGTGGGACTTCCTAGTTCTCTTGCGGCAAAACTAATCGTGTCCTGACAAGACAGGAAAGGAAAAGGGTGCCGCTCAAACAGGAAGTCTTCGTAAAATGAGTGTTCTGCTCAGGCGCTTGGGATAACGAAAAACTCTTCTTGCCCTGATAAGGACGGTTGGGATTCCGCAAGCCCGTCGACAGCAAGCACTCAACCAGCGGTGGACTGTATTTAAAAACGCTGTACTGCTCCTCCTCAGTTGAACACAATGCCGGATCAGAGGATGTTGTAAAAAAAACTAGGATAGCTTCACTTATTTATTTTTCTCTTGTTGTATACAGTTTGACAACTAAAACCACACTAAAACTAATGCCACTAGCTTCGCTGCTTTTATACTATCGTGCTGCTTCTTCTTCATCTTCTGGTTTTCGCCTTGCTCGATCGTTGGTTGAGAGAAATTTAACAAATGGGTGGGGCTTACGACGGTCACTGACTGTCGTTCGCGTTTGGGCGTGAACAGGTACGCAGTACGGAAAACAAGATCGACGGAAAAAAAATCAAGGAAAAAACAGAAAAATTGATTATATTTAGCAACAGCAGCTCGAACTGCAGCATACTTACTTACCTCAAGTCTCAAGATTTTCGGAAATTTTGCACTTATTTTCCGAAATTCACAATACTTACGTGGAACGCGGAAAAGAGCTAAATCAAACGAGAAAAGTTTAGTTATTGTTTACATTTTTGTGAGGGTGAAAACGAGGGAATGGTTGGTAGTTATTTTTGCGCGGGGAATGGACATAGCAAATAAATGCTACATTAATGTCGAGAGCACAGCGAGCAGCAGCAGAATTTTTTGATCCAGCCGAAGGACGATGGACAGGACTATGCAGCAGGTAAATTGTTTCACTCACTTTTCTTTAATTTCAGGTTTCCTTGATGGTGGACCAGTCTCTCGGAAAGGTAAGGACTCACTCGCGAATAGTTAACTTAAACGCACTTTATTTTTAAACTAAGAGTACTTTAAACTACTTTAATTTACTTAATTTCACAATAACTACAATCTTAATACAAATTCACTTTTACTTTCACTTATTCTGGTTTGTTTTGATTCCACTCCGTCGATGATTGTTGACCGCTGATGATGACGTTGCTTGCAGAAAAAAGAGGATGGCTCCTGTCACACTTCGGCTTTTATAAGGGGCGCTCCGGAAGACGATGCAACGCCATGCTACCAATATATATTTCCCATTTGGGCGTTTATCGGTGTCGATGAGCAAGGGGTGATTCATTGTTGGTGGTGACACCCAGGTGGCGCATCGATGTAATTTCATCACTTTCGTGGTAGCGAACATACTGGCCCCTTCAGGAACTCCGTTTCTGACACTGTAAAATCGATCAGTTGCTACCGGTCTCTTTCTAGCTGCAATGCCTCTATCATTCAAGCTGTCACTGCGATCGATGAACCTCGGACAGACGATTGTTTTGATTTCGCCGGACGAAAGTTTAAAGTGAAGATGGTCTGCAAAACATAAGACCCGGTAGCGGGGTTTTGTTTGATTAATTAGATTGGACAGGTGCTTACCTTGTCCTTTCTAATGAAAGGCATTGTATTTATATTTTAGGTACTCCTGCTGCAGAAGACAGTCGTGAACATCGGGATACGGCCATTGAAGGTGAATTTTGGAAGGCAAGTTACTGGATGGCTACGCTGTTGATGTTTTGGTCGGACGATGATTTCACTGGCAAGAGGCAAATTTTCGATACCGGACGGATGTAACGGCCGGTTGATGTTTGGACGGTGACTACCCGGATGACACCATCGGGCCCGGGATGAGTCTGATGAATTCTTGCCATCGGCCAGTGCATCGGAGTAGTGTTCTCATCGCGAAGAATGACGAGCTGATCTTGCTGCAGCTGAATAAGTGGATTGCACCATTTGCTACGTGGTTGCAATGTGGAAAGGTACTCCAGGTGCCACCTTTTCCACAATTCCTGGAACAGTTTTTGAACCAGATGCCACTGGCGAAGTCGATTCGTTACTATATCAGTGTAGTTGCCGTCTGGAACACTTTTGAGGGCAGATCCCGTCAGAAAATGCCCTGGCGTGAGTGGTTCGTAGTCAGTTGGATCATCGCTCAGTGCAATAATTGGTCGCGAGTTCAGGCAGCATTCGATCTGGCATAGCAACGTTTCCATGTCATCGAACGCAAGAGTATGTTTCCCTAGGACACGAATGAAGTGCTTTTGTGCTGAATGTATTGCGGCTTCCCATAAGCCGCCGAAGTAAGATGCCCTCGGAGGATTGAAATGCCAGCGAATCCCTTGCTGATTGCACTCTTGAGTGATAGCGTTGCGATG